GTAGTAACAGTGAAGTAGCAATAGCAGCAGCAAGTAATGGTAACATTTTTTGACTATATTCTACCCATCTTCATTGTGCTAATTTTTTTTTTCCTGATTAACCTTTCCTTCTTTCTTCTTAAATTGCCCTTACCTCAAAACAAAATCTGGAATTGAAACATGATTTGGGCTTAGAAATGAATATAGAAGTGGTGCATTCTAATCCCCTCACGTGTTGATGGTGGTGGTAATAGTGATAAAATAGTAATAAAAATAGTAGCAATGGTCTCAACAACCGAAAGTGGGAACGTCATTTGGATGCATACTCTGTGCCTGCCCTGTACTAAATACTCTTTATAAATGATTTTATTTAACCTTTTCACAAATGGAAAAGTCAAGGCTCATGAAAGTTAAAGTCAAACAGCTGCCATGAGCAGGATTGGGGCTGACTTCCCCAACTTCCGTGTGCCTCTGGGGTCTGTGCTCTTTGCCTCTACATGACACCAAGCGGGAAGTTCTCTGCCTTTCTAGCCCATGTGAAATGCTGCAAACGGATTGCTTTCATTAAGCTTATGATCTAAAATAGAAGCAGCTGACTGCTGAGTGTCTCCCTTCCTCGGCCCCAGCAACACTCAAATACACATTATCTAAAACAAAATTTGCAATTTTGGTATGCCTTCCTGTCTTGCAACTACTGCTCCTACACTGTGCCTAGTCTGGTAAACACTGCCTACTCAGTCGCACTAACCCGTCATCCCTGAGTATTATTCCTTCTCCTGCTTGTACCTCCTGAGTTAAATATCTCTCTGCACACGCACTTCACTTTGCTCACGCCCCGCTGCTGTTCCTCTCCTAGTGGGGCCCATCCCGTGTTTCACCTGGTCACTACAGACAGGTCGCAGCTCTCTCCTTGCCCCTGCCTTGCTTCCCTCTAACCCTTTCTCAGCAGCAGCTGGCACTGTGCACACATGGCCACCTGCACACCCTGTACACCTGGGCTCCCTGTCCCACATGGACACACATCCACTCAAAAAAAATCATGATTAGTTAATGCTAATACATTAATACTAATACATGATTTTGAACTGGAACACTGAATTGATGTGCAGGAAACCTGGGATTTAGTCTTGTATGTCAGTATTGTCTAATCTCTTGGTTCTCATCTTGTAAACATGATAGCAATATGTTAGGACCGCGGGTTTCAGTTGGTGTTGCCATTTGGTTTTTGCCTTGCAACTCTATTGTTGAGCTTTTTTCTGAAAGACTTTAAATCTGGAAGCTGAAGTCAAAATGTGAACTCTAAGGTAGGACACGGTCCCAAGGCTCAGCTGGAGCTCCCTGTCCTGCTTTCCCAGCTTCTGAAGGGTCCTGGAGATGCAGGGAGCACATTTAGAAATCACAGGGCCAGAGGATCTCAAGCAGGTTTTTGAGCTCCCAGAGACTCATTGTGTCTTAAAATATTCATTTTTATTTATCTTCTTAAAAAGATAGTCATCTATTCTGTCTGTTGTATGTCAGAAGTTTTAACTGACCTTAAGTTTGATGAATATTAAACATGAAAAGGGAGAAAAAAATGAGTATCTGTAATTCTGTGGTGTTTGTCCCTTGCCGTCATATAATTTTGAAACAAATGACTGTGCTACACATTTTATAAAGCAAGATGGCTGCTGCCATCTTTAACTGACAACAGTTTTTGAAATCTACTTGAAAAGAACCCATTCTTGCTACTGGACAATATGTTCTCATGTGGAGTTAAACCCTTGGTCATAATGGAGTCCTGCAGAAACATAATCAGCTTTCTTTTTACATTTGCCCATTTATAGGCAAATGAATAGTCAGGAGGCTTCATTATGATTCTTCATGTGAACCTAGCTATATAAGGAAAAATGTCCTCTTGAACTTCACTATCCAGTACAATAGCCAGTAGCCACATTTGGCTACAAGGAAAAATGTCCTCTTGAACTTCACTATCCAATACAATAGCCAGTAGCCACATTTGGCTACTGATCATTTCAAATGTGACTAATCCAAATTGAGATAGACTAGAAATATATGTATATATCAGTTTTTTTGTTTTTGTTTTAGAGACAGAGTGTCACTTTGTCGCCCTCAGTACAGTGCCATGGCGTCATAGCTCACAGCAACCTCCAACTCCTGGGCTTAGGTGATTCTCTTGCCTCAGCCTCCCAAGTAGCTGGGACTACAGGCTCCCACCACAATGCCCAGCTATTTTTTTGTTGCAGTGCCAGGGCTGGGTTTGAACCCACCACCCTTGGTATATGGAGCCGGTGCCCTACTCACTGAGCCACAGGTGCCACCCATAAATACTTAGTATTTTAAAAAGATATCTTTTGGGGTGGCACCTGTGGCTCAAAGGAGTAGGGTGCTGGTCCCATATGCCAGAGGTGGAGGGTTCAAACTCAACCCCACCCAAAATCTGCAAAAAACAAAGGATATCATTTCATTTCATTTTTTTTTTTTTTTGAGACAGCTCACTCTGTTGCCCCAGGCTAGAGTGCAGTGGGCTAGCCTAGCTCACAGCAACCTCAAACTCCTGGACTGAAGCCATCCTCCTACCTCAGCTTCCCCAGTAGCTGGGACTATAGGTACCTATCATGATGCCTGGCTAATTTGTCTATTTTTGGTAGAGATGAGGTCTTGCTCTTGCTCAGGCTCGTCTCAAACTCCTGAGCTCAAGTGATTCTCCCACTTCAGCCTCCCAGAGTACTAGGATATAGTATGAGTCACTGCGCCTAGCCTTAAAAAGATGTCCTTAATAATTTTTTATATTTTTCACATGTCAAAATGATACTTTGTAGGTAGACTGGCTTAAATAAATGTGTTATAAAACTAATTTCACCTCTTTTTTTTTTTTGCAGTTTTTGGCCAGAGTTGGGTTTGAACGCACCACCTCTGGTATATGGGGCCAGTGCCCTACTCCTTTGAGCCACAGGCGCCACCCTCACCTAGTTCTTTTTATTAGTTTTTTTGTATAAGAAAATTATTTGGCTCAGCGCCTGTGGCTTAAGTGGCTAAGGCGCCAGCCTCATACACCTAAGGTGGCGGGTTAGAATCCAGCCCAGGCCCATCAAACAACAATGATGGCTGCAACCAAAAAAAAAAAAAAATAGCCAGGC